GCCAATCATCTTTACGTTAGTAGCAGCCGAAATTATTTGCATAATTATGGTTTTAAATATTCTTCCATAATCAATCACGGATTTTAGAGCAGTGGTTGAATTACGATGACGACTATAATTATTATCATGCATGAATTTAAAGTATATCTTTTTTAAAAAAACGCGTAAATTTGATCATGTAGATCATAATAATTATTTGATTGTGCCAATTCTTTGGTGTCACAATATTATAAATTAGCCAATCGTATTATTATGGTCCACCAAAGTTTCCCCACACTGCTATACTGACAGGACACTTTCTGATACATCCTATCAGTTTGGCATAATATTCCTTTGTTTTCCTGCCATAACCATGTTAAAAAATTGTAATTTTTGGTTTTTCTTATTGATGAGTGTACACAAAAATGTAGATAATAATGTTAATAATAATAATTAACATCTGAGGACCATCTATATGAAATTCTATCGCGTTTATTATTTATCAAATTCAAAGTTAATTCGTGCGTGGCTGTGGAAAAAAAGTAAGAAGGTTTTCATAGATCACAAGTTTATAAAAAAATATTTATATAAACGGAACTGGCAAATGCAATGGACACAGTTGTCAGTAATGGTAATAATGAAAGTTATACAGATGCAGCAGAAAATTTGTACATATTAAAATATTGACAATAAGAATGAAATAGAGGCAAATGATGAAGGTGATGAGAGTTGTGATACTGAAGAATTTTTATTATACAACCAATAAAGACATGCCGTTTATTAGTTTTCAAAAATAAAATACATCAAAAAAATAAATCTTACATAAACCTACGTAGGGTTCAGAATTGGCCAGCATTATGTCGATATTTTGGTAATTCTGTTAACATTTCCGCATAATGCTTGTCAGTTTTAAACCCTACGTAGGTTTACATGAGATTTATTTTCCTGATGTACCACCTTCTATTTTTACACATCATTGATTTTCACAACCTGCAATACTTATTTTTTTGCAATCAAAAAAAAGCATGGCACATCAAAAAAAAAAATCCTTCCCAAAAAAATTAGATTTGAAACACCTTACGGATTTTGGAAGGAGGTGATGGCATGGCAAATAACATATTTCTTCGTGTTAATTAATAATTAATTAATTTAACACATAAAATTTTGACATTTTTAATACGTGTTAATTATAATTGATTTGTGCTATAGTTGGCTCGGTCTAAAGACCTCCTAAATTTTGGACAAATTTTAAAAGTATAGAAGTCACTTTCTGTCCTATCTTTTAAAAAAATAGCTCTATTAGTTGATATAATATGTCTTTAGTTTTGATGTAATAGAGAGATTTTATCAAAAAAATTATTTGTTGTGGAGTTCTATTCTTTTTTAAAACATGTACTTCACTATGCTCGCGAGGAATTTGTCCGCTATGATCATTTCTAAATTTAGGAAGATATTACCAAATTTAGACTAGTTCTTGACTATCGTATCTAAATTTGGCAGTAAGAAAACTAAAATCACGTGAAGTCCTATTTTTTGAAAATTGCTATTTTTGAAATTTGGCCGCATGGCGCAGCAATAGGAGGTCTTTAGACCGAGCCAACCATATGAAAAAAGTAAACAAATTTTTCATAGATCTCAAACTTATAAAAAATCACCATATAAATGAACTATCCTCTCTTCTCTTTTCTTCTCTTCTCTTCTCTTCTCTGCAAGTTTATAAGAAATTAAAACCTTTGCCGTACGATTCTAATATACCAGAATAGTAGAAAAACAGTGACACGATGAGTATTCAATCTTTTATTTTACCAAAACCTAAGCTACATATGATATAAAATTAATGAGTATATTTTGTGGAATTGCCATTTCGATCCTTTTGTCTATGTTAATATATAAAATTTTTGTGTTAAATAAACAAAATAAATTGTTGTAATTACAGAATTATTAAGCCTTGGTTTTCTAGTCAAAACTGGTGATTTATAAACCGAATCACACTAATTGTGGTCAATGTCTTTAGTTCTAGTGCGATGAAATCTCATTCATGGGACAGACACATAAAAAAATTGCATTTAAAATTCGTTATACCAAAATTTTATGTGAAGTTTAATGTTAGCTTCAACATCTTCATTCATGGTACCAGTGAGTCTGGTATGTATGGCCCATAAGGATGATTATTTGAAAATGGCTACACCACCAGAAAACGTCAAAAAGATTATATGCATATAATTTTTTATCATTTTCTGATCTTAGGGATGACTGGTGCGTGTGTTGGTTAAGAAGATGGAATAATAAAAAGTTGAAGGGCACCAAGTCATTCCTATTGCAAAACGTGTCAAGTTAGACACTTTATTGATAAGACCATGCATGGTGGGTGAAAATGATGTTGTTTATATGGAGGGAGGATGTCTACAATGTTATGTCAAAGGAAAAATTTCCATCATAAAGTTGAAATGGTTACAAAAGTTCTCAAAAACATTAATTACAAACTATTTAATCAATTAAAAAGCTAAATCACTAAAAATTATGCTTCATTCCTTAAACTTAGACTATTACTGCTTCACATGACATTCCCAACAATCAAAGACAACCAAATTTTTGCTTCTACTAAAATTGGATGATTTATTATTTTTATAACAAGACACTAAAAATTACAGTTTTTGAAAGAACTATTTTTAATAAAATACAAGCCAATTGAAATTTCACATCCAAATACCAATACCTACCACCCAATTATTCAATTTCACATTTATCTAAATGATCATTTTTTTAATATTTTTTCGATTTCTTCAATTTTATCTTTGACTTGGTCCAAATCACATTTTTCCGGAGCTTTAACAAGGTCCCTGACTTTCCTGGAAATAAATGGCATATTAATATTTTCTGAATTGTCAATTTCATTAATTTTTTTCCGAATATCTTCAATTGGAACTGAATAACATCTAATAAAGCCAAAAAAAATAATTAAATAATTTTTTCAAGCAAATTTATAATTATATATAAACTTGTACTATATTTACAAAATATCTGGAAACCAATCTCTCCATCTCCGTTGATTGGGAAATAAATAAAATAATTCAATCTCTCTGATAACCTTTGCTCTCTCAGACAAGAATGCTTCTTCTGTATTGTTTTTTTCAATTTCATTACTAAGCAAGCCAATAAATAAGTTCATCAAATATACAACTATCAAGAATGAAAATGTCAATACTAATATTACTAGATAAGGATTTTCTACAGATGACCAAGCTCCAAGTGCACTACTGTCACCTATAGTATATAGTAATAAAATTTTTTATTAGGAATAAATTATAAATTATTATTATTATTATCATTAAAAAAAACTTGTTTATTTACCTGTAAGGAAATTATACATTGCCAACATTGAAGTAGGAAAATAGGCAAACATGTTGACAGAATCATCAGGTTTTTTCACAATATATGTAGTAGTATTATATATATTGTCTGTAAATATGGTATAATTATCAACAAGATTCCAAGGATTGTTGGGATCATCATTGATAGTAGGTGCATCTAAATCATATTGTTCAGTTGGTCTTAATAATATGTGTAATGCATGTGAAAAACTTAAAACAATTAAAAACAATATCAACAAAAATGAAAAGACACATTGTGCTACTCCAATAATTATTGCATAATAAACTCCAAAAGATCTAAAAGCTCTAAATAATAACATGAATCTCAAATCTAATAATAGATTAGTCAATGAAATCATCCATATTGCTGGTGGTGTGTCATAATACAACCAATGGGCTGATGCAATAATTGGTAATAAAAAAGCACCAAGATCTAATATCAATAATAATAATTAATATTAAATATTATATTTTAAATAATTATATTACAAAAAAAATAATATATAAATACCAAAATAATTCCAAGGATCTTTCATATAATTTATCCCACCCCAAATAAACTGTCTGAATTCAACACTCACAAAAAATAGACCTATTGCAATACAGACAGTCAATGATTTTTTTCTTTTAATATCAGTAAAGTCATCTGGATTACTAGTGGTAGGAATAGCAAAACTTAATAAAAATATTATATAAATCATTGATACTCCAATATGATATTTTCTTCCAAAATGATTCCACTTGTAATCCAAGATAAATTTTCCATTCCAATGCTTATAAATTTCTAAATTTTCTGATTCAACAAAAATATTTGATTCTGGTTTAATCATTTCCCATGCAAAATTGTAATTACTATCATAATTCATAAATCCTGGGAAGGGAATTAAGAGCATCACACAAGCCTTTTCACTTTCAAGTTCACTAATGTCAAAAACATGTCTTGAATATGACAAAATTTTTTTATATAAAGAATCTCTAAAAAACCTATAAAAATATCTATAAAAATATAAATGCCAAAATTTACTATATTGGAAAATGAATATTTCATGAGGTCTTGCTTGATTAAATAACCCAGAGTAAGCAATCTTATCATCAAATTGAAGTAACATTGCTGAATTTTGAACAAAAAATTCTGAGATTAATCTTTGATAACTTCTGCCTAATTGTGGCAGTTTAACAATAATAATTTTTAACAGACTGATGTTTGATTCAACATCTTTTATAAACTGTTCAAGACATGACTCAACCACTTCTTTTACAACAAGTTCATTTCTTACTTTTAATGCTTCACTTAAAACAATATCTCCATATTTGGTGAGATAATAGAAATCTTTTGTCAAGTATTGAATCATCTCTTTATAAGGGTGTCTAGAAATTTGGTTTTGGATTTGATCTTTGCTGGTGTAATTTTTTTTAATTTCTTCAAAAAAATGGTCAACATCAAATATATAACCATCATAATCTTCTTCAATAGACTTAATGTTTTCTTCTAAACTTTCTATACTCAAGTTATGACTTTTAATATATCTAACATATATTAATTTATTTTTTTCATGAACAGCAAAAAGTTGCATATAATTTTTAGTTATTAAGATCAACCTATCATCAAATGACTTGCATTTAATGAATTTTTCATCATATAAATCATATTCACTATCATATTCAATACCACTGTTGTTATTGCTGCTGCTGCTGCCTTTGTTGCTTTTGTTGTTTAGAACTTTTATATTTATATGTTGACATTCTTTGTTATGAGTTATGATCCATTTATAATTCCTTCCATTTTTAATGATAGGGTTTTCATATAGTTTATTAGCAATGAGAACTTCAGCCCTCTTTTTAATTAGTTTACCGATTGTTTGGCAATTTTTGCTACTGTCACATACACCAGGGTTCAATCCTTTGATATCCACAAGTATGTTTTTGTATATTTTATGCAATTGTTGACCCATATAATAAATTTCATAATTTTTCAATCTATGCTTCTTTATTTCTTTTGACATTTTATCATTAATGAGTTCTTTAGTGCAAATACAATCATCACTAGCCATGACAATATAATCATCATCTACAATTGGTCCAAATATAATATTCTTATTCTTCTTATCATCATTATTAAAAATATGTGTGATATTTACAGAAGTGGTAAGTTTAAGATTGTAAGGGTCCATTAACACACAATTATTTTCTCTGTTTTCTTTATCAAAATATATGACTAACAAAAACTCCTTATATTTTAATTTTTTTAATTTTGCTAATCTTTCTTTTAATTTTGTTAATTCTGTTAATTTTTCTTTGTTCTTTGTTGAGCATTGATTCAAAATATCATTGTTGATTTTATCGATTTCGTTTTCTAATTGTGTTAATTCTTTTTCTTCTATTTTTTCTACTTTTCCTCTTGTTGGTTGATTCAAAATATCATTAATTCTTTTGATCTTATTTTCTAATTTTGTTAAATATTCTTTTTTCTCTGATTTCTCTGATGTCCAATATTTTTCCAAAATATCAATTTCATCTTCTGATTTTGGTAAACCTTCTTTTTCTTTTTTCTTTGTTGATTGATTCGAAATATCATCATCAATTATATTGATTTCGTCCTCTTTTTCTGTTGATTGATTCGAAGTAACACCATTGATTTTATTGACTATATCTTCTAATGTTGTTGCTAAATCTTTTACCTTTTCTGTTGTTGATGTCCAATATTGATTCAACCCATTGGTTTCATTGATTTCATTTTCTAATTTTGTTAAGTATTCATTTTCTTTTTGATTTGAATCATTGATTTCATTGATTTCATCTTCTAACTTTGTTAATTCTTCTTCTTCTTTTTGATTCAAATCATTAATTTCATTGATTTTATTTTCTAATTTTGTTAATTCTTCTTCCGAAATATTAAATTTGATTTTATTGATTTTATCTTTTAATTTTGCTAAATATTCTTTTTCTTTTTTCTTTGATGTCCAATATTTTTCTGAAGAAACTTCATGGATTTTATTGACTTTGCCTTTTAATTTTGCTAAGTATTCTTTTTTTTCTTTCTGTTTTGCCCAATATTCTTTCAAAGAAACTTCATTGACTTTATCAATTTTATATTTGAATTTTTCTAAATCTTTTTCTCTTTCTTTTTTTATTGTTGATTCCCAATATTTTAACGAAATTTTATTGACTTTATCTTCTAAGCTTGATAAATCTTCTTCTACTTTTTCTTTTGTTAATTTCCAATATCGAGTCAAAATATCATTGAATAATCCTTTAGTTAATTGTTCCTTCGAATTATCATCCTCCTCGTGGATTTCGTTCTCGTCGTTTGCAAATGAAAAAATGTCATCATTTTTTACATAAATGAAATCTACTTTTTTAATATAAACTTTTTTCTTAAATTCGTCTATAGATGGATTTTATATTTAAAATAATAAGTTATATGTTAGATTATTGTTATTATAAATAACAAGAATAAAAATAATATTAATTAATTATGCATATAATAACTACATACATGATGAAACTGCTATATTACGCTCTAATGAGTAGACTACTAGCTTTGAATTTCGACGATAATCAGCCACCATCAAGGCTTCTTCTGCCTTATGTTTTTTATTAAGAACGATATAATCATTAGATTTTAAGTAATAATTTTTTTCATAATTATAGCTTTTTTCGTAAAAACGATGATTATGACTCCATTCCGATATCAATGAATGACTAGCAGCAATAAGAAAATAATTGACATCATAATAAATTCTTGGGGTTTCATCACTATAAATATTATGTGTATTAAGAAGTTTTAAATCACCAGAATTGCTGTTATATTCCATGGAATATATTTTATACTTTTTTTCATCTTTATGGCTTCTTCTCAACATCATTAATTTCGCTAATTTAGAGTTCGACTTGCCATTGTTCTGAAAAATAACTTTAGTGTATTTTTCAATTTTTTCTTTGTCTTTATTGTTGTCTTTCTTGTTACCTTTTTCCTTTTCAAAAGGTGGACCTTTTCCTTCATTTTCGTCGTCATTTTCTGTTTTTAAAAGGTGGACTTTTTCGTTGTCATTTTCGTCATCTTTTTCTTTGTCTTTTTCTCTTTTATCATGTTTGATTTTGTTTCTAATCTTCTTAGGATACTCGATGATTTTTCCTTTTTCCAGATTGAACAATACTGAAAAAAAATATTAAAATTGTTTTTAAGAGTTTATTTTTTTAAAAAAATTAAAATAAATTAATATATATATATATATATATATTATTCGTAATTACTTACTGCAATATTCACTTTGTATAACAACGCATTGATTATTAGAAATTTCATCAATATAAACCTTGGCCTTGTCTTTAAGATTATCGGATTTGTCTTTATCGGAAATTTCATTGTTACAAAGCTTAGATTTGACAAAATCCTTACTATACTTATAAATTTTAGAGCAACTTAAATGTTTTCCCACAACTGTCCATAAAATGATGATTCGATCTTTTCTACAATGAGTTACAACAAATTTATGATTGTAACTATACTTTATTTCATCGATATATTTTCCATGTTTGCTTTCTTGGTTAAGTTCGAGTTCATATTTAAACTCGTCCCAACCTAGTTTTTTAATGTCAGTCAGCGTCGGCGCGTCACCATTGTCTTCGTTGTTGTCATTGTCATTAGGAGTAATAACTTTAATTTCAATACTATTTTTATTATTATCATCACTCATATTTTTTTTTTTAATTAAAGAAAATAAAAAAATTCCGTAGAGTTGACAACGTATTTATATCATTATCAAGTTATTATATTGCAAATCCTATTCATTGCAATACACTATATTAGGCATATCAACGTTTTGGTTTTTTGGGCCCCTTTTTTCAAACCTTATATCATATTGTGTCTCGACAACATTAAACACGTTAAACATGATGTGCAAACTGGTCAATAGAATGATAATTAACTCCCCAAAAAATTTATTTGCTCCGCTAAAAAAACTATTTTACTATTCGATAGCCCGTCGAACTAATGGTCACCTCAAAATCAATGGGCTTTTGCTAGAAGTATTCATAACATTATGATCATACCGTACTGGATTTTGGGGTACAAACAAAATCAGATAATGAAACCCACAAAAAGATGATCTGCGAAAAGTTTTTTATAAAGATCTACAGTCGGCGTTTGGCATGATGAACCTTCTTTAAAAAAAATCTAATTTTGGAATAATCTGATTTTGGGAATGGAACTCTTTTGTTCGATATAAATAGGAGATGGAAAATCGCATGAAATTTCAAAAATTTCATGAGCATTATGCATTGCATTTTTTTTTTTAATAATATTATATATTGGTCGTGTAGATCCTTCAAATCCTCCAAATACGAAAACACAACACCCCAAAGTAGATCGTGTTTTGAAGCCAAAAACCTCTGTATACAATGTTACGATTTCATCTCATTCATTAATATTAACACAAATAATTGACCACATTATATAAATGCGTATTTTTTTGCCGATCAATAAATGTAAATAACAATAAACAAAATTCAAACTACTACTATTTTAATTTTTTGTTTTATAAAAAAAAAGTTGTATCAAAAAAAAAAGTTTTAAGTATGGTGCGGGACCTCTTAAACCAAATTTTAAAAATTTTCAATTATTATTGTTGTAATAATTTGTATAAAATAATTTTAATTATTAATATTACAGTCGGCGCTCGATATAGTGACCTACTATATAGTAAAATTGTACGATATAAGTGAAGTTGGAAAATTTCCATTTCATTACATATAAATTCTGCTCGATAATAGTGATTTTTAATATAAAACTCTCGATATAATCATATAGTGAAGTTTTACCTTGGCGCCCATTACATTAACTAAAGCTCGATATAGTGAAATTTTTATTAAATAATAATTTGTCGCAAAAAAATTTTCTCACGAATATTAATATTAATTAAATATCTGTGATTTGATTGGTCAATTTTAAATATTACGATTTAATGTGTAACGGTTTAATGGTAGAGTTCGGTTGCACAGTATATCACTATAGAAATGGATGGCAAAATGTGTTGATCATTTGAAACCACAACATGATTTTTAACATTCAACGCCTTTAATCCATTTAATATAACAACAAATATAATTTATTCAGATATATGACCATTTGTTATTACAATTTGTCATTA